GTAACGAAGTAGAGAGTGATGCCTACCTGGAGAGTTGCAAACAGTCTGCCTTCATTTATTTGTTCTTGTGTGTGTGTGTGTGTGTGGGTATTATTGCTGACTTGTTGCAAAGCAAAGCATTCCTAAATAATGAATCGTGTCAATTTGCTCATTCAGACTCCTCTGTTGTAAAACTGGGAGTGGCAGAAGTACACATGCATACATGTGGATATAGATTTGGTCTAGCTATGATTGTATTTGGCTTCGCTTGCATAGTGATTTGATATCCTCAGGAAATCAGCATGCTTTATTAATAAAAGTATTTGTTGCAAAAAAAGCAATTCTGGGCACTATCCATTCGCAGTGAATAATGGATTTTTTAAAAATATAATAGATGGCAGCTCCCCGTAAGTCTCATATTTAACAGGAAAAAAACCCCAACCATTTTATTTTATTTTATTTTATTTTATTTTATTTTATTTTATTTACTGCTGCTAGTTTTAAGGGGCTTTGCGAGAGTTTCACTTTTAAACTTGTAAGTCCTTGTTGAAACAAAACTGATGCAAACCCAATAGATATAGATATTAATTTTACAGCTCTGTTTTTTGGCAGACGTGGTGCTGGCACCAAATATCCATTCACCCAGAAGCCAATTCTGGGAAGTTGTGAGTCTGCTTAGCCAAGGTGAACAAATTATAGCAGTTTTCAGAACCACTGCAGACTGTAAAATCAATTACACGTCACTTAGGAACTCTCTTCTTGTTGAATTAAACACCCTCCCTCCGATGACAGTTGTTCATCTTTCTTTGATTACTGCCTGCTGGTTCAGGTGTATATTGGATGCAGGTAAATATGGCTCATGCAGGAATCTTTTTCTCAGTTGCCTTTTTAAAGTTTACAAATGGCTGAAGAAGAAGCCTCGCTCCTGGTCTGAGCTGCAGTAGGTATAAAGATGAGGTCTGTGTGGGCAAGTAATTTTGTTATTACTTTAAGTGCAGGAGGGATGCAGATTCGTGTGTATTTTTCAATAGTGAGGATTTCCATTTCTCAGGAAGTCAGAACCAAAAAAGGCCACATTACCTTTAGAGATTCATATTAAGCCCAATAAGATAGCCCTGGCCTGCCCTACGGACCATACTTAGGGGCTCTGCAACCCCTGGGTGTGTGTTCTTAAATTTGCCCAATTTCTGTTGTGAGATATTTAAACTCTACCATACTCCTTGATAATGAACTTTGGGTAAATTAAAGTTTTCCCTTCCATGCAAGATCCTGAGCTGGTACTATTTGGGGCTCTTGAAAACAGAATGGATCTTCCAGTTTGACTTTAAAAGAAAGCGTAACTGTGGGAAATGTATAGTGTGGAGCCATGAACGTACACGGTGAGAACCCGAAATATATAACAAAAGGCATCTTGTACTGCCAATTATTGCCACATGATTATTTAGAATAAACCCCCATGGCTGCTTCAGTGGTGAGACTAGAAAATGGGTTATCTGTGTTCAGAGGCTCATAATGGCTTTTGCGAAATATTATTCAGTCTACCAGTGTCTAATAAATAGATCACAAAACAGTGATTGCATGTGGTGTGGAAAACTCAGAATTGAGAAACAAGATTTCCCAAATACTGTAAAGGGGGAAAAAAATAAAAGTTTTTTTTTCATTTTTTCATTGCGGTTGAAAAAAATGGTATTTGGTTACTTTAATTTGTCTTTGAATTTAATTCTGTTCTTTCAAAGGTTAATTTAAACAAAACAAAAGAAAGTTTCAGTTTTGTTGTAATTCTTTTAAGTCTGAATTTTTTGGGAAAACAAAATTTGAGTTTTAAATCAAGATTAAATCATTGTCCCCCCTCACGACTCAGGTGACTAAGACCATAAGGAATCCTTCCTCCCCCCCCAAAAAAACCCCTCACAAACACCCCTGCTTGAAATAGACAAATATGTGGACAGTTCTGTTGAAAATCTACTTTTTACAATTAAAAAAAAGTTACACTAATCACCAAAATCTTCTTTATACGGCACAAAATATAATTATCACTGAGTTTGTAGGAACAGTAATTGTGCTAATTTTATTCACTAGATGGTTTATATTTGCCATTTCCTTTAGATCTTGTTTTATTTATTTGGGTAAAAAGTGTATTTTTCGGCTATCTTCAGAACCTGCAGAGCGTTAAATCCGTGCAGGTATGGAAACATGAACCTTAGCTGATCTTTATGTAAAGACCTGTGCCCCCTTGTAATAGTGAAATAGACAAATAGGTAGCGAAATAGACAAAATGTTGCTGCTGACAGGGGGAGACCTTTTGCACTTCCAGTGCTGGAGATATTTCCCCCCTCTTGCTGTGGGAAAGCTCCAAGGGGAACCTTTAATAGAGAACTTTTTATTTTCCAGTTCGCTTCCTGACAGTATGAATGGACTCTTCATTCTAGTTGATCTCCAGTGAAATTTTTACATTTTATTAGAGCTCCCAACTGTATTTCAATGAGGATCTCTGTCCAAACGAGCATAGCATGATGTATGAAGTGGAGGCTGGTGAGACAACTTGTGCATGGGTCTTTGATGCAAGTCGGTCTGTCTCACTAGTATGTCCCTTATATAACGATCTGTAGTCACCTATAGACTGTTAGATGCACACAGGATTAGGAGAATCTTAAGAGTCTTCCTACCAGCTTTATTTATCCAGCCATCGCATGTTCTCATGGAGGGATAAACAGGATCCTAAAATGTACAGTTTCTTCCAGCGTCGTGTCTGTGTTGCTCATACAGTAACCCTAAAGTTCGGGAATCCCATCCTTTTGTGCGTGCAGCCCTGTAATGGCTTCTTTATGGGCCGATTTTGTTGCATATGGATTTTATTATCTCTCTCGCATTTTTGTGGGGGGTTGGAAAGGAGAGATTTTTTTCCCCCCTCACTAAGTTTTTGGTTACAGCTTCAATTCCTTCCCAGCTTCCACGGCCTTTGCTCTTTTCTTTTGTTCTGTTAAATGCCAAACATGTGCGAGGGCCCTTACAAGACAGAATGGATGTGGCTTTAACATATGCTATGTGACCGATCAAGCTTTAGGATCAAGGTCGTTGGAACTGGGGGACAGTATCGCCAGATATTTTGGGTCAGTTTCTGTTACTAGGTGCTCAAGGATTGTTACAATAGTACTAAAAGCTGAAATTAATTGATGGTACTTCACTCCCCCTTGATATAAAGATCTCAATAATAACGCTCACCTTCTGTTATAAGGCTCATGACCTTTACCTCCCAGCTTCATGAAACATCACTATAATTGCCCTTTTTGCCACAGCGCCTCTGTCCACGCCCCTGGGTGGAGGTATATAGGAGGGAGTGGGGGTATTTACCACTTATGCTTTCCTTGTGAAACATTGTTTTATCTGCAAAGAGAAAAATAGGGCCGGGGGTGAAAAATGAAAAAAAAAAAAAAAAGAAAACGGAGAAAAGGAAAAAAGAACAATGAAAAGGGTCAGTGGATTTTAGCGAGATGCATTAGCAACATTTGGATCCAGTTAAAGGTGCCAAATTTTCCTGATGCGGTTACGTCCCGCATTGTGGTGTGCCGCGTGTGTATGTCTCCGTTCCGCGTGAGTGGGTGCAGGACATTTCGGGCAGTTTATTAGATGTAGTAAACACAGAAATTTCTGTTGAGTTTTCTGTTCATTTTTTTTAAAACCAACAAGTGGTGTTTTTATTTATTTACCTTTAGAGATAGCAGAAGTTTGCGTCAATCTTTACAAACATTATTTTTTGTCTGCTGTTTTCTGTTTTGATTTATGTTCTTTTCCATCTTGTTTAATAGAGGATAAATGAGAAATATTAAAAAGGAAAGAAAGAAAAGGAACGAAACCATAATCCTTAAAACCCACGCGCCTGGCTTTGCAATACGCGTTTTTCCTTTCGATTTGTACTATAATTTATACTCCATAGAAGCCAATGTTAAATCTCACGGTCCACATGATTTGTCTGGGTTGCATAGTAATTCCACACTCGATAATTGTGACCAAATTAAAAAGGAATTGTAAATTGAGACACTATGGTCTACCTG